ATCTCTTGAGTCAACAGTTATTACAGAAAAAAAACGTCCTTCATCATAGCGGTCAGGTATTTTTATAGTTTTTGCCCTCTAAACGCTAAACCTGAGTCTGTGGATACGCTCCAGAAAGAGAGTTAAAAGGGCCATCGAGCGTGCTTTTCCGCGACTCTGTAGATCTATTGGTTCCCGAATTATGCGCCGTTGTTTCGTAAATACAGGCAAAATTTGACCTTTGATGACCTCCAGCGACCTGAACTTTGAGCTAAGATAAAAATAACCGCAGCATTTCTTCTTCATCATTTTTGACGCTCTTTCGAATGCCGCTTATCGCTATGTGGCCCAGGAGCCGTGTTAGACAGGAAACACCCCTCCCCGCTTTCACGGCGGGGAGGGGTGCTTTCCGGCGTCACTCGTTAGCTCATTAGCTGTGTCGAACGAATCTGATCGAAAAATCATTCACAGCGGATTTGACTACATGAGCCGCGGCAAAGTCCTCACAGCCTGCCATCAGCCACGCATAATGCACATACCTCCCTACCACCGAGCCACAACGCCATAGCCAAACTCTCACATGACCCGAGCGCATCTCGTTTACCAATGATGCATAACGCAAGTCGCAACAGCCTTAGATTCTGTTTCATACGATAATAAAATATATGTATTATCTTTAGCAAGATGGTAATACAATACAGTTAACAGTCTAAACGTAGTCCAAGTGATTTTCCTCATTATTCATTCTGGTATTGCAATGTGATAATTTAGAGGGCTCGCAGAGACCTTCGCGCTTTATGGATAATGGAGAGGATCTTTTGACTCAACTTGTGAGCTGCGTCGAACATATGTAGGTACCGTAAAGTGGGGCTATTTGAGACAGTGGGGCTATTTGAGACAGTAAGGTGATGGTATAGTAAAATCGCTGTAAAATGAAAACCGTTTGATGTTTTTTCGTCATTTTTGCTTAGGCTAATGTGGAATTGAACAGTGAATGCTCTGAATAACCTTTTTGAAAATTTCGAAAAGCTCTGAAAGAAATTAGTAATAAAATACAAAATACAGAAAAACGCACAATTTAAGTTGCTCGAAAAGGACCCCTACCTGCAGCTTAAAAAAGTTGAAGTTTTAACAGCTTCGCCACTGTATCTATCGTTACTACCTTTTTGCTTATAGGTTAAGCACATTTTCCATGAAAATATTAAATATTGTTAACGGTACTGCCGATTGCGTAACCCATTGTCTCAGAATCCCGATGATGCCCACCTGGTCAAACCTCAACGGATATGCCAAATAGCTGATGATAACGGTGATGCGATGCACCCGAGAAAACTTACCGCCATCTACCTGAAGTGCATCGAACGTTCGACATAAGCAACACCGGTGAATCGGTCGTGGTCATAAACGTGCAGTGGGTTCATGGTAGGTACTTTTAGCAGCAAGCAATATTTACATGTTCGTAGTGTAACATAATAACCCTTTAGCTGGTGACCAAACTAGTTATTCTGATGAATATGTGCTTAAAATGTGCTTCATCAGTCACTGACTCATTCGACAATCAACATATGTCTACCTTGGTTGGCCAAAAAACACCATTGAATGTTACTTAACACATGAACGTACTGTTAGGTGAGCCTATCCAAGTACATACTTGATGTGATAGGGTAACCGACCAATTGATACAGCATGCAGCGATCGAGGAAAATCGGCATAATATCAAAACCGTTTAACATTTTTCTGTTATTTCTTCGCATGGAGATGTACAAAGGAACAAACAATCATGCAGACCATTCACTCAAATGTTTTGGGAAGCCTTTTGCCTTGTTTGATTCATTACAGTGTGCTTCATAAGGTAGCGAGACTGTCTCAAATAGCCCCACCGACTTTCGGTATATATGTTTTCACGTCACCGGGGCTATATACAAAAACTTACTTTCAAAATTTTACTGTCGATGACTTTAAAATAGTCGTTGATGATCATCCTGTCAGTTTGAAAGCTATGGGTCACATCATATTATGATAGCCTTAGCATATAGTGATGCAATTTTATACCCTACCGAAATGAACTGTCCTACGAAAAAGGAAAAGGTTGAATATAAAGGTCATATAACAGTCTTTGAAAAAAACAATTTTTGCCAAAATGATCAAAATTCAATTTCCAAATGGATGGCGTTTAAAAAATTATGTCTAGCGTGACCGATTTTCTTTAATTTCTTTGCAACTAAACTGTCTCAAATAGCCCCACCCTATGGGGCTATTTGAGACAGGCTTTAACATAAAAAATAACCTTAATCATTATTACTAGCTGAACCAAAATACACCTATATGAAAGCGCTCACAGAGAACTACATTTTTGCAATTTACATGCTATAAGAAATATGAACTGTATTAAAGGGAGAGGCCAAAAACTGTAAAATCCGTTTCAAATAGCCCCACTTTACGGTACCCAATAAATCGTTGACAGAGTATTATGGACTCTGCCGACTACTGGAGCCGGTCCCGCTGGAACCGGCTGAGTCTCACTATGTTCCGCAGTAGTCGGCTGAGTCCCACTTTGTCCCGCTGGGACCGACCGAGTCCCATTGTGTCTCGCAGTAGTCGGCTGAATCCCAATTTGTCCCGCTGCAGTCGGCGGAGTCCCACGATGTCCCGCAGTAGTCGGCTGAGTCCCACTTTGTCCCGCTGGGACTGGCCGAGTCCTATTGTGTCCTGCTGAGACCGGCCAAGTCCCGTACTATGTCCCGTTGTAGTCGGCTGGCTGAGTCCCGTACTACATCCTGCTGTAGTCAGCTGAGTCCCACTTTGTCCCGCTTGGACAGGCCGAGTCCCATTGTGCCCCGCTGTGGTCGACTTAGTCCCAATTAGTCCCGCTGGAGTCGGTTGAGTGAGAGTCCCACTATGTCCTGCAGTAGTCGGCTGAGTCCCACTTTGTCCCGCTGGGACAGGCTAAGTCCCATGGTGTCCCGCTGGGACAGGTCGACTCATCCCGCTGCAGTTATCATGCCCAGTAATACCTCCCTCATCGATAGAAAAACATGCATCGAAAGAACGTCCGTGACGACATGATATAGGTATTGCGCCAAAATGCTGAAAAAACGAAGATCTAGAACCCTGAAAATATATCTAGAGAATACCACGAAATTTACACATCAATCGAGAGAGCATTCCATTGGTAACATTTCTCGATGGTAAAAATAGAGCTAGGTAAGCAAAAATCAGCGAAAACCCTCCCCAAACGCCACCTAACTCAATCCAACCTACCTCGCTGTTTTCGTCTCAATTTATGCCACGAATGCCGACTTTGTTTATCTTTCATTCATTATTTCTAATTACTTTTCTTTCAGCGCTCAGCTGGATGTAAATGACGTCATTGATAATAAAATGCCGAAAGACGTGAATTTGTTGCATAATTAACCCGCGCCCAGATGGGGTCTGCCGAGCAACGCGGTCTGATGGGGGGGGGCCATTTTGGCCCCCCCTCAGATCTCGAGAACCACGCAACATAGCGACAAGCGGTAAACGGTGTTGGATAGCCCCAACGGGGAACTACCTTGTGACCCAATTTCATTGACCTCGGTCAAACCGATGACGTCACAGGTCAGGTCAAAGGTCGAATTTTCACCGTTTACAGGCATTTCAAGAAATGCGTTGTAAAATCGTGTAAAATGCATTTCATTGAAAATCATCGATGGGGAAATGTTCTTCAAACACATATTTTGCTATTTGAGGTCACTGATACCAGGTCAGGTCACAGAGGTCAGGTCACTGGGGGGTCACAATATGAAAGTGTCGTGTGATACATGTTTTATGGTCCATTTTACATGAAAAATGCGATTATGTGGGTCAGACAGACTTAAGGGCCAGCTTAGGTCACGTTTTGGTCAAGGTCAGGTCAAGGTCAGGTCAAGGTCAGGTCAAATTAGGTCAAATTTCAAAGTTGATATTTTTGCATAAAATGGGTATCGATTCGATGCAGCTCGTCACGGGGAGTTCAATGGTGGTCTCCGTGTTGCGCTACGAGGTCTAGAATTGCTAAAAATTGAGTTCAAAAATTTGACGTCATCAATTTTTAACAGTTTTTTCGCTATAACTTGGCCAAAAAAAGAGGTATCGATCTAAAATTTGGTATGTATATCGAAGAGCGCAGGGACTATCACATATATTCCGGTTTTTTCGAAATTCGAAAAAATTTTGGAAATTTTTTGAGTTTTTCTAAAAAAAATCATTTTTTTGATTTTTGGGGGTCAAAATCCAAAAATTTCGAAAATCCGAGATAGCAGTTTTGTAGCGCCGTCTTTTCTCTACACAACCACATAAAGAACTTTAAAATTGCTTGTTAGCTGTAGAATTGGTGAGCGTTTCAAGATGTCATGTTTTTTGCTCATTTTTACTCGAACATGACCTCAGTTTGACCTCAATAACTCCTGACCTGAGGTGACCTGTGACTTGAAATTTTGTGTGAAGGTGTCAAATTGATGTCCGGTAAGGTACCCAAAATTTGGCGGCGCTGCGCGCCGCCGTTTTCTCGCTATTTAAGAAAAACCACAGGGGGGGCCAAAATGGCCCCCCCCATCAGGGCGCGGGTTAATAACAATGCGTGATAAGGCTAAAAAATGAAGGTGAAATTACAATAGCTCAACTTTGGTAACCTTAGAATAAATACGACTTTAAAAAGGATTTCAATTTATGAGTGAAATTCAATAATCTTTTGACGTAATTTTATAACAAGCCAACAAATGTGTGATCTCGTGAAAATGTTCGCTGTAATCTGTTTATTTCATTGTCAGTCTGCCGTTTATGCATACTGCTAGCTGACGTATTTCGGCCGCTCATTGGCGATCAGCTTAGGCCGCGTGAAGTTTACCAATGAGAAGTTGTCAAACGATAGCAGACTGACAGTAGAAAATAACAACCGAACAGCGTTTGACAGTAAAGCGGCGCGGCTCATAGGCTACTGTTGCCAAGTTGTTGCAAAGCGCCGGCTTTTTATTCAACACTCAACAGTCAATTGGTTTTACACAGGCAAATGTCTGGAGTATTTTAGGAATATTGTCGGTTCTGTGTCTCTGTCGCTTATTTCTATGTGTGTTTAAGGGTTCAAATATGTATGCTCGCTGAATGTAAGCCAATTCAGTTGTCATTGTGGGTCAGTTGATGTTTTTAAATGATCTTACAAAATTAAACTTGCAACATTCACCTGTAGGTGTTTTTGGTAATATTACTAGGTGTTTAATGTTACTAGGTGTAATGTTACTAGGTGTAGGTGTTTTTGCTTGAAATTTGAAAAATATGCATAAATCAGTATTGGTAACCCTGGCGTCACCGGTAGCGTTTTTGTTCAAGGTTAAGGTTTCCTGTATTAGGCCGCTGTGCCAGGCCGAAGCATGCTGTGACGTCACTGGGTAAGAGAAGATAACGTAAAGACTAAAGAATGACTCACTCAGGCAGACTCAAACTGAATCAGCAATTAGGCAGACTCAAACTGACTTGACCGACTCAAACCGATTCAGATTGACTCAGACTGACTCAAACTAACTCAGACCAACTCAACTGACTCAGATCAATCGACTCAAATCGATTCCGATTTCCGATCGACTCAGACAGATTCAGGCAGACTCAGACCAATTCAGATCGACTCAGACCAACTCAGATAGACTCAGAACAACTCAAACTGACCCAGAACAATTCAACCGAATCAAATCGTTCCATTGATTCAGACAGACTCAGAATGACTCAGACAGACTCAGAACGACTCAGACAGACTCAGGCAGACTCAAACCAACTCAGGCAGATTCAAACCGACTCAGGCAGACTCAGACCCACTCAGATAGACTCAGAACGACTCAAGCTGACTCAAACCAACTCAACCGACTCAAGTAGATTCCGATCGACTCGGACAGACTCAGAACGACTTAGACAAACTCAGGCAGACTCAAACCGGCTCAGGCACACTCAAACTGACTCGACCAACTCAAACCGATTCAGGTCTGATGATTCAGGTCAAATCGGGTCTGTCTGAGTCGGTCTAAATCGGTTTGAGTCGGTTCGATTTGAGTCGGTTGATTCGGTCTGAGTCATTTTGAGTTGTTCTGAGTCTAGCTGAGTCAGTCTGAGTCGATCTGAATCGGTTTGAGTCGGTCGAGTCAGTTTGAGTCTGCCTGAGTCTGTTTAAGTCGTTCCGAGTCTGTCTGAGTCGATCGGAATCGATTTGAGTCGGTTAAGTCGATCTGAGTCAGTTTGAGTCGTTCTGAGTCTATCTGAGGCGGTCTGAGTCGATCTGAATCGGTTTGAGTCGGTCGAGTCAGTTTGAGTCTGTCTGAGTCGATCGGAATCGATTTGAGTCGGTTGAGTCGGTCTGAGTCAGTCTGAGTCTATCTGAATCGGTCTGAGTCTGCCTGAGTCGGTTTGAGTCTGCCTGAGTCTCTCTGAGTCGTTCTGAGTCTGTCTGAGTCGATCGGAATCGATTTGAGTCGGTTGAGTCGGTCTGAGTTAGTTTGAGTCGGTCTGAGTCGATCTGAATCGGTTTGAGTCGGTCGAGTGAGCTTGAGTCTGCCTGAGTCGGTTTGAGTCTGCCTGAGTCGTTCTGAGTCTGTCCGAGTCAAGCAGAATGGAGTCGGTGAGTCGGTCTGAGTCAGTTTGAGTCGTTCTGAGTCGGTCTGAGTCGATCTGAATCGGTTTGGGTCGGTCGAGTCAGTTTGAGTCTGCCTGTGTCGGTCTGAGTCTGTGTCTCAGTCGATACTGATAGCGTGGTACGTTATCTTCTCTTCCAGTGACATCACAGCATGCTTCGGTGATATTTATTCACTTTCGATGACAACACGAAAGCAAATATTCAAAATTGAGCAAATATTCTAAATGAGATATATGTATGTGCAAGTTTTGAGACCTCTACATCCCTTTACATTCCTTTTTAAGGAGCCCATCACGAGGACAGGCGACCCAGCCCCCTGACAGGCACCGCACCCGGCTACGGGCCTGCTCCCGGGGGAGCTACCCGCATGGGATAGCATTGCCGGTCCAGCCCGGAGCAGGGGGGTGGAAGCATGGAGGAGCAGGATTTAGGATTTTGCTACCCTGAGGATGGAAATGACGGAACGGAGGACGTCAATTGACCCGCGTTCCTACATATGTTAAGCTAGCTGGCAACTGGCGAGAGGGGCACGCTGGGCCCATGAGGACCGTTCCGCCATTTACCTGCGGTACGTAAACTTCCGATTCAAATTATAACCAGTGAGCCGGGCGCGGGCGAGGTTGGTGGGGGGGGGGGGGCATGGCGTCATTCGCTACGAGCACCGCTCAGCGGACGGCATCCGGGTCCAAAACCACCCATTCATCCATTCGGACAAAATTTATCAGGAAAGAAAGAAAGAAATGAATGTATTCGCAGTAAGTACACAGAGCATTGGCTTTTCACCATTGCACGTTAATGGACGCGAGTCAATTGACGTCAATTGGGTGGGGTTTTTTAAAGGGCTGGTAGGGCCTGAGACATACCCATTGTTTGATAATTTTAACATTAGCTGTATGGCGCTGCATGGTAAGGATGGTTTTGCTATCCTAAAATAATCATTAGAGTCCTACTAGTAAAAATTGGGGAAGTGGTGCTCTTGACACCAGTGATGGTTATGGGCCCATGCATAACACACCATCACTATCGTGTCATAGAGCGTCACCATCAAGTGGTGGACTATCGCCCAGTTCGATGATTGTCTTCCATAACTGTCTTATGGTTTCAGATTGTCTATTGTATAACGTTCATTCTGAATCAATAATGAGGCAGACCGCCCTGTTCTTGAGCGTTTTGTGTTTGTTGATTGCTTCATCTACAAGTGAGGAATCGGCTGCCAATGAAGTGGACGAGCGTGGCTACATCTTGTTCTGTCCCTGTATGGGTGAGTGTTCAACTGCTGTTCTGGCACGTAAACACAGGGGCTGCGCCACCGGGGGTCGCGGGGGTCCGGTCCCCCTTCCCCCGATTATTTCGTTTCCGTAATGCCTGCCGGATGACGTATAAAGTGGTGCATTTTTGGGGTCGGACCCCCAATCATGAGGGTGTGGCAGAGCCCCTTTGTAAATAGCATACAGTGTCGTGTAATGGATGTGCTACACATATGTGCTAAATGTTAGATGTTTATCACACATTTGTCAGTACTTCTGGAGCCACCACCAGAGCCGGCCAAGGAGCACGGAGTGTTCCAGTGCACAGTGGTACACTCGGGGGCAGATTGATGTTCCACAACTCTTTATCCACCGGGTTCCTATGGCTCAGCATTGGCAGCAGCCGCCTGGTACCGGTAGACTGTGCCGCTTCACTTACTTGTCAAGCGGCACAGCCTACCCACCTGTATGACACCGGTCTGGGTCGGTGGCTGGAAGGCGATGTGGGCCGCCTGTGACGTCAGCGCAGCGGTGAGGGCCGAGCCCGGAGGCATGGCTCGGGTCGGCGCGGCGCGGCGGCTGGCGAGGGCTGGGGAGTGAGGTGGGGTGGGAGCACGGACCATCGCGTGGCTGAGCGAGTGTAGTTAACTTTCGCATCTCAAGGCGCCAATTATTCTACCTAACAATTGTGCTAAAGCAGTTGTTAAAATGTCCTATCCCCAAGACAGCGCCTATCATCATACTTGCAATGCACATTACGACACACTTAAGCGTGGCAATGGGACAGCCGATAGAACTTATGTCACTCGTGCATCGAGGTGCGGAGCTATATTTTGTATAACATATTAGTATTAAGGCCTTGATTGAGCATATTGGTGTCTATTGTTTCGCACGGCAATCGTCCAGAGACGTGGGAACTGGGGGTTATGAGTAGTGCCGCAGCCAACGCTCCAATTTAAAGCGGTAGACTGATTTACTGTTGCTCTAATATGTGGTCGCAGCTTCCAATAGCAAACCGTTCCAACTAGGAGCCAAAAAGTCAGCCACTCAGGGGGGCTCGAACCGGGCTTCTCCCACCGGCCAATTCACGACACGAGCGTTCATCCACTGAGCTACCGAGAATGGTCCGCGTCCGCACAAAACAAAATGACATTGACCCGCTGACCGGCAATGACAGTATTGTGACATTTGATCGCGTTTGACCGCGGCGGGTGGTCGCTGGTTTCGGCAGCTCAGTGGATACACGCTAGCGTCGTGGGGTGACCGGTTGGAGAAACCCGGTTCGAACCGTCCCAGGTGCGAGACTTATTTGTTCCTAGATGGAACGGTTTGCTATTGGTGGCTGCGACCACACATTAGAGGAACATAAGAGTTGCTTAAAGTTGGGACGCCGCGCTATCCAAAAACCCCAGTTCCCACGTCTCTGGACGATTGCTGTGCGAAATAATAGACACCAATGAGCTCAATCAAGGCCTTAATACATATCTGTTAAAAACAATGTAGCTCCGCAACTCGATGCACGTGTGATATAAATTCTATCGGCTGTCCCAATGTCACGTTTAAGTGTGTCGTAATGTGCATGGCAAGTATGATGAAAGGCGCTGTCTTGGGGATAGGACATTTTAACAACTGCTTTAGCACAATTGTTAGGTAGAATAATTGGCGCCTTGAGACGCGAAAGTTAACTACACTCGCTCAGCCGCGCGATGGTCCGTGCTCCCACCCCACCTCACTCCCCAGCCCTCGCCAGCCGCCGCGCCGCGCCGACCCGAGCCATGCCTCCGGGCTCGGCCCTCACCGCTGCGCTGACGTCACAGGCGGCCCACATCGCCTTCCAGCCACCGACCCAGACCGGTGGCATACGGTGTGGGTAGGCTGTGCCGCTTGACAAGTAAGTGAAGCGGCACAGTCTACCGGTACCAGGCGGCTGCTGCCAATGCTGAGCCATAGGAACCCGGTGGATAAAGAGTTGTGGAACATCAATCTGCCCCCGAGTGTACCTATGTACCAGCAGTGCATGGTGGATGTTGTGATGGGGCACGTTTTCCCTTCCCTTCATTTGGTATCACCCCCCGGTCATATGGAAGCACAGAAACAATAAACAGTTCCATGGTCGCCGCCATTGTGTTTCGAGGGTAATCGGCCGCTCCCGATAAATCGCCGCGAGAGTGCTAAACTAACCACCGGAATCGACCATAACATGGCGCGGTCGGTCGGTTTCGTAATCTTTTATTAACTTTTCGCTGACGGCCGCGACTAACCGTACTCGTTGTGCCTGTCGTGTGTAAATATCTGTGCGGCGCGCGCGTCCAAGATGGCGGGCGGCGATGAGGCGCAGTCGGCCGCCGCCGCTGAGAAGCCGTCTGAGATGGAGCTGCTTCGGGGCATGCTGCAGCAGCAATTGGAGCTGGCTGCAGCGGCAGCGCGACGTGAGGAGCGGATGGCCGCGCTGATGGAGCGGGTGCTTCCCGGCCCGACGGCCGTGCAGGACGCCACGGCACCCGCCCAGGCAGCTGCGGGGCCCGATTCCGGCGCCCGGCCGCGTGCACGAATGCCCGCCGCCGGCACGCCCACGCCCCGGCTGGCGGCTACCGCTACCCTCAAGGAGTTTGAGGCCTGGAAAGAGAAGTTCTCCGGCTACTTGTTGTGATGGGGCACGTTTTCCCTTCCCTTCATTTGGTATCACCCCCCGGTCATATGGAAGCACAGAAACAATAAACAGTTCCATGGTCGCCGCCATTGTGTTTCGAGGGTAATCGGCCGCTCCCGATAAATCGCCGCGAGAGTGCTAAACTAACCACCGGAATCGACCATAACAGTGGAAGACCATGCCAATTCAGGTCAATGCGGGGAGGCAGCTGCTGACCTGAGTGCTGCCGCTTTTGCGGCACTCATGGAATATGTATGTGCTGTTTATTGGTCACTAATGCAGGAAAAGCTGATGGCCATAAGTGTACTTTTGTTGGCAGGTCGATTTGGAAACCAAATGGACTACTTCTTGGGCACCCTTAGTTTCGCTAAGGAGCTCAACAGGACACTAGTGCTGGCACCGTGGGTGGAATATCACATGCGTCAGCCGAAGTCGGTGGGTATTGATTTTTTTGTCAAGACTTCTGCTATCGTTTTTCGTGCTATGTTTGGTCTCATGCAGGCGCATATGGAATAAGGAATATGGATCATTTAATAACAAACACGTATTCTGAACAAATGCCCCTTTGCCAGCCGATACTTATGACCACATTAATAGCTGGTCTTGCTATAATCTAGTCTCGCTTATGTAGATTTTTGGTCATCGAACTTTTTTTAATGATCTTTAGATAGTAGGTCTCATAAATCTTAAATCAACCACTAATCATAAATACAAATCTTAACCCTGGTCCGTATAGGGGGGGGGGGGGGGAGTCGAACGGTCCCCCTCGGTTTTTCGCGAATAACTCGCATAAAAAGCGGCCGATCGCGGACTCTTTCAGTACCCTCGCGTTAATCAATTTCACACCTACCCTGAAAATTGCATGACCCTGACTCAAATGACCTTTGACCTGTAACCTACTTTTCGAGACCATGTTTGGCCGGAATTGCGATTTGGCGTATGTCGGCTCTCATTAGTCGCGCGTTTGCAGTCTTTTCGTGGTTTCAAGCGTTCAAACATGATATGATGTTGTTCCCACGCATAAGGTTGGGTGTCAAGGTCACCTGAAGGTCAGGTCAGGTCATTGACCTTTGATGACCTCGGTTCACTTTTTTATTTTTACATGTTTCTAGGCTAGTTTTTTTAGCTGAATTCGAATTAAGCAACCATATGAACATTCACGAAGTAGTTTTGGAGCCTTCGTAACATGTTGCGAAGCTGTCAGAGGCGGTTGACACCTACTACAAATGCTCGGCAGGACCTCTACTGGTTGACCTTCACCTGACCTGACCTGACCTGACCCGACCTGGCGTAAATGCATGAAGATATCATCTGTGATCAAAACTAACATGATATTCGTGATTAACGCTCCGAAAAACCCATAGTAACTATCCTTTACGACGTTCTAACGGGTCCCGATTTTCCCGACTTTTGGGTCATTGACCTGACCTGGAAGGTCAACCAATGACCTAGGACCTTTAAATTCGGTATCATCGTCACGGGCAACACGCTCGTTTTTTCCGCGAAGCTCTAGCTCGATCAGGGGCGAAACGGCAAGGGGGTCCAATGGACCCCCCCCCCCTATACGTTCGCGGCTGTAAAAACACCAATACGGGCGAGGGTTACTTAATATTCATCGGCACTTAGATTCACATTTCATTCACATAATCCATTCATAAGCTGGGTAATTCGTTTTTATTGGTTTTCATTCCTACTCGACTCATCTTTGCAACATCTTTGCCTCATTTTCCCTAAAAAAAATTCTGTGTGGACGGCTCGCACTATAAAGGCAAGAGTACTGCCCACTGCTCGTAAGCAATAGGCATTATTTATAAGCGGGTCCTTTTTTAATTTGATGTTATCCTTTATAATGATAATACAATGCATTTCATTAAAAAACATTGAGCTCAGTTTTGTGTGAAAAGCTAATGATGGTATTTCCTTTTTCAGATTCAGGTACCGTTCGACGAGTATTTTCGAGTGGACGAAGTAGCGAAGTACCATCCTGCAATTACCATGGAAACATTTATGAGTGAAATAGCCCCGAAGATATGGCCGCCTTCAAAGAGAATTTGTAAGCATTGTTTCTAAACAAAGTTACTGTCGTTTTGTAGCACCTAGAATCCTGGAAGGCTGCAAGCACCTATTGACTCGCACTTTGGTTAGGATACTTTCAAGAATTCTTGTTGTTGTATCCAGGGTGATGTAAAGAAAAGTTGCCATTCGAATTGTTTAACAGTTATTTATTACGGGCCTTGTAGCTCAGTTGTTGGAGCATTGGACTCCGTGTGATTAGAGTCCGGGTCTGAGACGCTCCGGGGCTCGATATTGTGAGACCTGACAGCCGACAGGCATTGTCTGTGGTTGGGGGAGCAGCCGCAGCCAGTTGGAGTCAGTTGAGTGGGGGCGGGGGGGGGCGTTATATTTCGATGGGTATCCACGTTAAACTTAACATCTAAATCCTCCCGTTTCCTGGAATTACCGATCGTACGGTTTGCTTGGGACCTACGCTCAAGCTCAGCTTAGCTCGGGCCTCGACTCTTTCATCCATCAGTCAGCCATTTGAGGTAGCCTATTTGATAGCCTAATGCCTATTGCTTAGGATAGCCTATTGCCCTATTGGAAATGGAGGTTCTGTCTCGTGGCTAGCATGCCTCCGCGAACACGACTGAATAATGCAGATGAGGTAGGGAAGGACAAAGGACATACGATCGCGCTGGTCAGTGTTCACTCGTGCGAGTGAGTTCACTCGCTCAGTACAGGCGGCGCTACCCCGGTCACGCCCGTTCGACTGTGGCACAGTACTGCCGAATGATGTCCCAAAGTTCCTCAGTCGGAAGTCGGGAGCTGTTCCCGGGGCACACCTCCCTTCCCCAAAAGTCTGTCAGTCAATTCACACCGTCTGAAGGGTGCAGCGGATCTACTTTGTCGGAACCGTGGCTGAGAGGGATGACGGACCGTGAACTCGGATCGTGTGTCCAATTCCATAGGCAACCTTCCTGTCTAACAGACTGTGGGACAAGCATCTGGAGCGCTGACTTTCCGCTGGATTACGTCGGCGTACCGTGCCGGGGCGCGTTTGTGTGTGTGTGTGGGGGGGGGGGGGAGGGGTGCTGGTCGCTGTGCGCCGCTGATGCGCCCTGTTATCCCCGCAGCGTTCTGCTACCAGCAGCAGTCGCTGTGTCCCGCTGATGCGCCCAGCAGCGGTCGCTGTGTAGTGTGTCCCGCTGATGTGCCCTGTTATCCCCGCAGCGGTCGCTGTGTCCCGCTGATGCGCCCTGTTATCCCCGCAGCGTTCTGCTACCAGCAGCGGCAGGCGTACGGTGAGCCGCCGACCGACCCCTGCGCCGCCAAGAACGGCAACCCGCCCGGCCCCTTCTGGGACACCTACGGCATAGACTTTGTGTCCTCGGAGCTGCACAGCCCGCTGTCGTACGACCTGTGGAACGTGGCCGGCGAGGCGGAGCGCTGGCGGCGCCGCTACCCGCCGCACCGCTGGCCCGGTGAGTCCGCCACCCGCCGTCCGTAGCTGGCCCGGTGAGTCCGCCACCCGGCGTCCGCAGTCGGGTCAGTGAGTCCGCTGTCTGCAGTCGGTCCGGTGGCCCGGCGTCGATGTAAGGTCCGCGCTTTGCTGCCGGGCACGGCGCTCGTTAGAGATGGGACCGATCGTCAGAGATGGGACGTTGTCATTAACTAACGGCCATTGTATTCTGCCATCATTTGTATTCACCTAGCAAAGTCCGAGTCCTCAGCACTGTTTTTGTTTGTCCGAAAAGAAAGGTCCTCTTATGGAACTTAAAAATGGAGTAATGAAGTTGGTTAGATTGTTAATGTTGTCGTCTCGGTGACATGTGACCCTTTGCGTCGGCTGCTCAGTGCTGGCGTTCGCCGGCTCGCCGGCCTCCTACCCGGTGCTGGAGGTGAACGCCGGCCTGCAGCGCCACTTCCAGTGGTCGGAGTCCGTCCGCGAGCGCGCCCGGGAGCTGAGGCGCCGCCTGCTGCCGGCCGCGCCGTTCGTTGGCGTCCACCTCCGGCTCGGCTCCGACTGGGTGAGTTCGGCCACCGTGCCGGGTCAGCTCAACAGCTTACGGCTGGGTGAGTTTGTCCTGACTGGGTGATTGTGTTCGGACAAACCCAAGATTGATATATAGCTACTGACTACTGAGGTTATCCGGACCCATACCATTAGCTATTAAGCCATGGCTCTGTATGGGTTTCTACGTCTGTGATGTTTACTGATTAACGTGTGTACTCGGATCGTATGTGCTCGGCCGCCGGTGAGCTCACGGTGTCTGGTTTCCGGCCGTCGGTGAGCTCACGGTGTCTGTCCGTCCGTCGGTGAGCTCACGGTGTCTGTCCGGCCGTCGGTGAGCTCACGGTGTCTGTCCGGCCGCCGGTGAGCTCACGGTGTCTGTCTGTCCGTCGGTGAGCTCACGGTGTCTGCTCCGGTCTCCAGTGAGCTCACGGTGCCCGTGTCCGACCTCCGGTGGGCAGCTCACGGTGTCAGTCTCCGGCCGCCGGTGAGCTCACGGTGTCTGTCCGGCCGCCGGTGAGCTCACGGTGTCTGTCTGTCCGTCGATGAGCTCACGGTGTCTGTCCGGTCTCCGGTGGGCAGCTCACGGTGTCTGTCCGGCCGTCGGTGAGCTCACGGTGTCTGTCCGGCCGTCGGTGAGCTCACGGTGTCTGCTCCGGTCTCCGGTGAGCTCACGGTGTCTGTCGGGCCGTCGGTGAGCTCACGGTGTCTGTCCGGTCTCCGGTGAGCTCACGGTGTCTGTCCGGCCGTCGGTGAGCTCACGATGTCTGTCCGGCCGTCGGTGAGCTCGCGGTGTCTGTCTGTCCGTCCACCAGGAGCGCGCCTGCGCCCACACGCGCCAGGCCACGGGCAACATGTTCTCGTCGGCGCAGTGTCTGGGCTACCGTCAGCAGCACGGTCGGCTGACGGAGCGACTCTGCTACCCGGACTGGCCGACCGTGGCGCGCCAGATGCGCCGCGCCGCCCGCCACACGCGCGCGCCCGCCGTCTACGTGGCCACGGACGCGCCCGAGCGGCTGGACAGTCTGCGCCGCGAGCTGCGCGGCCACGAGCAGGAGGTGAGCGGCAGCGCACGGCGCCGGCTCTGAGATCCTCCACACCCACCCACCGACACTGACAGACCGTGAAGACAACGGAGGGGCGGGAGCTCAGTGGCGAGCGGCGCACAGCCCAGCCCTGCCGAGCTGTCTGCCCCCCCCCCCCCCCACACACACACACATCTAGGACCGTTCCATTCCTACTTGTCGCCCATTCACCCGTCTGAGTGCTTCTATGTGGGCAGATGCACAATGCAATTCATACCTGATAATCGATTGATTTTCCGGAGTGGCAACGTAGTGCTGTGACAGGGGGACATTTCATCGACTATTTAGTTAAATATGATCACTTTTTTACCATCGTCTATCCAAATAGTTCAGTGGGTTTCGTGATCTTCATGCGCCTCCCTTGTTGTCGCCTGTCTGGGGCTTATTACGGGTTCGTTTGCTCCCACTGCCGCGCCCCCTCGCCGTGGCCACCGATACTGTTCTCGCTGCGGTACTGGTCTGTGTGTCCGCCCGTCCGTGTGTCCGCCGCTGACACCCGCTCTGCCCGGCAGTTCGAGCTGGTCACGTGGCAGCCGGCCGAGCCGGGCCGGCCGGCGGACGCGCACGCCGAGCTAGCGCTGCTGGCCCGCGCCAACCTCTTCATCGGCAACTGCGTCTCCTCGTTCTCGGCAGTGGTGTTCCGCGAGCGGGACGCGCTCGGGCTGCCGTCCGCCTTCTGGGCGTTCCCAGAGGACTCTGAGTCGGAGTCGGAGTCGGACCGGGATGCCGACCCGGCGCGGCCCGGCAGGGACGAGCTGTAGTCAGCCCGGCCGGGCCCGGCAGGGACGAGCTGTAGTCAGCCCGGCCCGGCCCGGCAGGGACGAGCTGTAGTCAGCCCGGCCCGGCAGGGACGAGCTGTAGTCAGCCCGACCCGGCCCGGCAGGGACGAGCTGTAGTCAGCCCGGCCCGGCCCGGCAGGGACGAGCTGTAGTCAGCCCGGCCCGGCCCGGCAGGGACGAGCTGTAGTCAGCCCGGCCCGGCAGGGACGAGCTGTAGTCAGCCCGGTCCGGCAGGGAGGAGCTGTAGTCAGCTCGGCCCGGCCCGGCCCGGCTCGTGGGGACAGGGATCTCGCTGTGGCGTGCGCTGCCGCACTGCTGGCGGCAGTACCTCCGGGGACGTGTGTGTGCTCAGATCGGCCTGCCGCTCAGCCCGGGTCTCCGCGGAGACTGGCGGTGGCGCGGTCCCGTATGCCGGTCATTGGGCGGGAGTGTTGGTCGCGGCCGGCCGTGCGCGGTGGCGGGGCGTGGCTCGGCCGCGCGGTGATCTCAGTGACGACAGAGCAGCGATCAAATGGCACCCATTGGGTGTGTACTGTGTCCGGTGACATTCACCGCAACCGGCTCGTGTAGTGCTTTGAGTACTTACGAATGAGCCGTTCATGCATTGATACATTCATTCCCGTTTTCTATTTTCGCTTTTGCAGCGATCATCCAACCATTAATAAAGTTTACTTTGGAATATCAGGCGCGGATACAAGGGGGGGCCATGGGGGCCATGGCCCCCCCTTGGCCGATTTTTTTTTCAAAAATAAAATAAAAAGTTAAAAAGTTAAAAAGCTGAAAAGGGGGCCTCCTGAAAATAAAGTGGCCGAAATCCGATGAGTTTTTTTTAACCTACCCACTTAGTTATTTCTTAGAAGACTAGCTGAGAAGACTTCTTTGTTAGAAGATTGGTAAAGCTTTTCATAACTTGGAGGTCTCTTATACTCACAGAGATGACCACTTTTACAGGGCCTCCTAACCTGCACAGAGGGCCTCCAAGCCTGCACAGATGTTGAGATGTTGCCTGAACAGCTAGATAAGCTCAATAGACGCAGTTTTTTTTTGGGGGGGGGGCCCAACCAGTGGGAAGATGGGGCCTCCAACAGGTGGGATTATGGGGGGGGCCTCCTGGTTTCTAATGGCCCCTCCCTTGGAGATTTTCTGGATCCGCCCCTGTGGAATATCCGATATGTCTGTGCTACCCTGCGGCTATTAGAACATTTCTCCGGTTATCGGGGTGTTTCTTCTTTATCCACCTACCATGTACCAACCTGTTAACATAAGAACGATTTCGACCCGATATTTGGAATCCTTGCTAACATTCGAGATCACCTTTTGTCAAATGGCATTCAGAGTTGAGGGGGTGCCGTGTAAAATTGCACTTCTAGTGGGTTGAGTTGGCATGTGATGACCCATATACTGATTGCCTGATCTCTGGACTGGTGCCGCAGCGGTGGACGCCCGCGTGAAGTGATGGCTCTTCCACTGCACATATTATCACGGTTAAAAAGCACCATTCCGGTTGTTTTGAGCCTCGTTCGTTCGTTTGTTTAATCCTCGTTACGGAACATGCCGGACAGCACCGCCCAGTGCCGGGTGGATGACTACGGAGTACGGAGGGGCTCAGTTGGCTCCTTTACGATACCATCGATCGTAGTGAAGACAATATTTTGTATTTTGTGGTCTCTCGTAGTTTGTGGTATCACGAATGTAAGAGCTGAACAGACCAGGGAAACGGGTTACACAGCACATTGGGTGGACGCGTTTCGTGTAAATGACTTTTTCGACACCCTCTCGGAAATTAAAACAATACAAACACCGAGAGGGTGTCGAAAAAGTCATTTAGACGAAACGCGTCCACCCAATGTGCTGTGTAACCCGTCTCAATATATATATTTGTCTATTACTACTCAGACCAGGGAAAGTTATCACGCAAAATAAGCAACATCCACATTTACCACATGCCGAGATATCCCTTTAACATTAGCACGTGCATTTGGGAAATGGCTTCGGCCCGCCTCGGCTAATGTTGAAGGTATTTGGGAAACGATTCGGCCCTAGGGCTTTTTGATTTTCCCAGACAAAATTTTACTGAATATTCTGAGCGGAAGAACCAATTTCAAAGAAGATATTTACGGATTGTGTGTTCACTAACAGCAACAGCAAAAGTAAGTGACTGCGTGTTTACTTACTTTTGCTGTCAACGTAATTCAACTAAACAAGTTTATCGTTCCAATGCCAATGTATTTATTGCTGCAGAACATGGTCGGAAATCGGAATAATAATTATTTCTACATAATGCACGCAAAAAACGATCATTTTAAATGCGTGAAGCATCTTAACGTGCCACAATGAAACATTTGATATTGTTCCAGCTGGGATCCAAGACGCGTTTGATTCAGCGTTTCACCCAATTTTCAGTTTTCCTCACGGTTTCCTCACTCCTGCTGGACTCCATATCTTTATTCTAACTTCTGGCGCTTCACCATCTTCATCCTCAGCTTTTTCAAACCCTAAATAAGGGGGAAGTAGGAATTTCATCTTTCATACTCAACGCCGCCCAATAATGAAAAAAAATAATCACGGTGACGATAGAGATGAACAAATTATTGAACATAGTATTAAAGGGACCCTCCCACCTTCAAAAAAGTTAATGAATTGGCATGAAAGTGATGTCGCTCGGTTCAGAAAGAGCAAAAATGAATATCTACCAAATTTCATCGAAAAATATTCACCAGTTTTCAAGATATTAGACTTTTACTTTTGTTTACTTTTTGGGATCTCCGCTGTTCCTAGCGACTTTATTTGAAAGTGCGGCAATTGTTGCGCGCAAAGCAGCATATACCACCGCGTGCTGCCAAACGTTTTAGTAAAAGATTTAAAAATCGTTAGATCTCCGCTGACGTCACAAATTCTAAGGGGGCATACCAATGCATTAGCCCCTTAGAATCCGAAAACTGCAAGTTTGAAATTCCATATCTTCGAATTAAAGCATTTTTCGATGTTGTGAATGCCCAAACCGGTATTTTCAGGCCATGGCCACCAATTTGGCTATCTCAACTCAAAACTAATGTTAAGGTGGGAGGGTCCCTTTAATAGAATATTAACACCATATTAAGAACATAAAATATAATACCAAATGAATATGAAACTAACTGTTGCGCCGGTACGGCATGTGGTAAATCTCTTCCCAACCTTGGGCTGTGAAAATGCAGTTTTATTCAGGGTATATTGGATTAGGGTTTTATTCACCTCGGTTTTTGCTACGGACCTCGTGCCTACCGGCACTCGGTCCTCCGCACAAAACCTCGGTGAATAAAACGCATTTTCCCAGCCCCGGTCGGGAATATATATTCTCATTGAGATGTAAAGTTATAGAAAAGTTCACGAGACTGAATTGACTTTAGGCTTCCTAGCCTTAAAAATTCTCGAAATATTCTAATCAAGCCGGGACGAGGGAGGCGTTTTCACGCTCCTTCGGCCTTATCCGAATATCTTAATTGGGCACGTTGATAGGTAAAATCTCTGTGAAGTGTGAATGTACATTGATAGGCTACATCTCCGTAAATATAGTAAAAGTCTCGAGGTCATTCATTCAAGGATAGGTCACCAAGTCATGTCGGCAGACCTAACCTCATGGGCAAATTCAAATGTTCTCCACAGCCATGACTGAACGACAGCTTTGCAGCTTTCACCGACGGATGAGCGCGACGGATGTGTAAACTGTAATACAAAACGTACTTGCTTGTTTACTTTTAAACGGTTGCCCAAAAGTTCTCACACCTTGCCATGAATTGCCCTTAATCATATGTTTTTTGTTGCAGATCACGTTGAAAATTTCATGAAACGTTCCTTTGGATTAACGCTACAAAACAAAGTTGGCAGATCGCTTGAATATGTCCGCTAACCAAAGTTATGAGGCAAATCGTATGGCCATCTATCGGTTACTGCAAGCGGGCAAGAGGGTCGTCGACATCGTGAGAGACCTTCAGGTGTCCAAGTCGACCGTTATGAAGGTCAAGAGGTTGATCAAAGCTGGCCAGAGTCTTGATAGTCAAGAAGTGGAAGGCCTAGGTCAGTGAGGACGATGGCGAACATCAAGAAGGCCCGAAACGTGATCAACAAGAACCCAAAGACCACGATTTCGAAGGTTTCCAGGACCCTTGGGATCAGCCGCCAGACGGGCCAAAGGATTATCAAGAAAGACTTGTCGTCGAAGAGCTTGAAGATTAGAGACGTGCCGAGTGTTGGTAAAAGTGCTGAAAGGAGGTTGAAGCGTACAAAGGCCTTGAAAAACTGGATAAAGAACTCGGCCAACTCCAAGAAGGTGCGAATTTTCTCAGACGAGAAGCTCTTCGTCATGGACGCCGTGGTCAACAAGCAAAACGACAGATACATCTCTGACCTTCCCGTGAGCTTGGTAAGCCCTGAGATCAAGTTCAACTCGGTATCCAAGAACCCTGCGAAGATCATGGTCCTCGGCATCGTAGCCAGCGATGGCAAGAAGTGTCCAATGATTTTCATCCCCGAGAACGAGAAGGTCAACGCCGTAGTGTACCAGAACCTGCTGAAAAGGCATTTCTTGCCTTGGCTAAGGAAGAATTACCCTCCTGGCACTTATGTCTTGCAGCAAGACGGCGCCCCCTCCCACACAGCCAGGTCGACGCAGGCCTTCTTGACCTCAGAGGGGGGTCGAGTTCTGGCCACCTTCCATGTGGCCCCCCTTCTCACCCGACCTGAACCCGCTGGACTACGCCATCTGGTCGCGGATGGTCGGGGAGGTCAACGCGGAGAGGCACAGCAGCATGGACAGTCTGAAGAAGGCCATCAAGAAGAGCTGGAGGCACATCGACGTGGCCTTCATCAAGCACGTCACCGGCCGCTACCGCGACAGGCTCGAGAGGGTTCTGGAGGGTCAGGGGGCGTATGTGTCTTGAGTGTGTGGAAGATACTATGAGGTCATCATTCTGTGAAAATTTCAGTTTGATATCTAATAAAATGGATGACCTATTGGACTTTTTCTTAAAATGGTGCGAGAACTTTTGGGCAACTGTTTATATCGGTGACCAAAGGTCAGATCAGTAACAGTTTAGAACCTCTCCATTAGGTAGGCATAAAGTCAATATACAAACTTCGTCACTCTTTTAAAATCACTGGACCCGCCCTTGGCTGGATTGAGTCCTACCTGCACCAGCGCTCCCAGCGAGTCATTATCGATGGGAAGCGCTCTGACTGGCTGCCGGTGCTCTCCGGGGTGCCGGAAGGCAGTATTTTGGGCCCGATTCTGTTTAGCTGCTATGTTGCAGATATTCCGAGATGTATCAGCAATGGTTGTCTTGCCTACGCTGATGACGTCAAGATTTTTCACCGCGTCAAAAATCACAAAGACATTGATTCTCTTCAGGCTGATTTGGACCGCCTTTGCGAGTGGTCAAAATTCTGGCGCTTGAAACTCAATCCATCCAAATGCAAGGTCATCACGTTTACTCTACGAAAGTCTCCATTCATACACTCGTATACTCTGGACAGTCACCAACTTGAGCGTTGTGAGCATATCCGTGACCTTGGAGTGATTTTAGACAGTAAGCTCACCTTTGCCCAGCACGTTGACGAGGTGACCAGGAAGGCGAACCGCATGCTTGGCTTGCTCATTCGGAGCATGCAGACCGCGCCATGTATGCGCGGAACTAGGTTCGACCATCGCCCCGTGATGACTCCTATATCGCCCACGTCCGGTCGGTGATTGAGTATGCCAGCGTCATATGGTCAGGGGCTGCTGTAACCCACATGGCTCGCCTAGAGCGTCTCAATCACCGCTTTCTTATGTGGCTAGCTGCAAAAACACAGGGTAGGTGTCCTTCTCTGGACTACCAATCCCTTTTAAATCACTTTAGATGTCAGTCAATTAAGGCACGCATGACACAGGCTGATATAACTTTTATGCGTTCTATCTTTAGCGGCCGGATTGACTGCCACGAGCTGGTGGCGAAATTCAGCCTTGTCACTCAGGTTAGGCGTTCTCGGCACACAGGCCTTTTTCATGTCCCATTTGGTAGAGTTAATGCTGTGAAGTGTGGCTTGTTTATTCGACTACCCAACCAACTAAACAAATTCTTACACGAGCATTCGGAGGCCGACTTCTTCCAGCCGTCATGTCATTGGAGAGCACTACTGCTCCGCTTTGCGAGTAGTCAGGGCACTTTTAATGAGTGATGTCGACTGTCAGCCAGCACTCTGCTACTTACTTTCTGTGATCGCGTCTGGTGTATGTATGTGTATGTATGCTGGGAGGGGATTGTATGTGTGTAGGGGGAGGGCAGAGCGGGTTGAATGCCTGAGGGGGTGGGATGGGAAATTTTATTGCGACTGCAGCCTTAATGTGGGCCTCGGCCTGTGGTTGTTATGAAATAAATAAACAAATAAACAAATGGGAGAGAATAGAACTGTGCCGTTTTCGGATGAACGTCTCACTACTCACTTTTGAATATCGTTAAACCCACGTCGAGCGTGGGGGGAGGGTTAAAAACCTTCTGTGGTTTTTCGCGAATATATTAGCCCTCGCATGCGTAGGGGGAGGGGTCGAATGGAGCCACCCATGGTTTTTCGCGAAAAACTCGCGCAAAAAGCGGCCGATAGCGACGAAACTTTCAGTACCCTCGAGTTGATCAATTTTACACCTACTACTAATTCATGACCCTGACCCAAGTGACCTTTGACCTGTGACCTTTTTCTCGAGGCCATGTTTGGCCGGAATTGCTATTCAGCGTATGTCAGCTCACATTATCCGCGCGTTTTCAGTCTTTTTGTGATTATGAACGTCCAACATGTGAAATGACGTTCGTGGTCAGATCCGATCCTTCCCAGGTGGATGCATATAGGCGGCGGAACGGGGAGGGCACCGGGGCACCGTGGCCCCTTTGATTTAGGTACGCATTTCAACATAAGCCCTAGGGCGTTGCATGGAAAGAACGGGACCAAAAGTCGGCAGTGCCCCCCCCCCCTAATTGAAGGTGTTCCGCCGCCACTGGGTGGATGTGGGGACGGGAAGAGCTCAGACGGTGCCGTGCTACCGCCTCACTCTCGACTTACGAGCGTGGTAATGTTCAGAAGCTCCGCCACCAGAGGAGGGTTGCGGGTGTCCGCACCATAGAGATCTTATAATATAAGATCTCTATGGTCCGCACCCCTCCCCCTAATAAGTTCACTTCCGTAATGCCGATCTATGTACAGTCTAGTCGACTATAGAATGATGTTCCACTTTTCACAGGCAATTATTTGCCTGGAGTGGTAGGCTGTGCCGCATCACACGGGCTGAGTTCACAAATTATAGCTTTGTCCCAATGCTCACAATCGATACGCTTAATTGCGTGATAAACGGCACATTTTAGCGCTCCGGTCAACTGATAGCTTCTGAGGAGTGGAACATTATTCTGTAGTCGACTATAACCTATGTATACCTATGTACATACACACTACACCACTGTGCAACGTGCTGGGTGTGTTGAATCTCACCCTCTCAACCGTAAAACCGCGGCGGAGCACCTAAGAAGTCGTGTTAGGAATTAGGATATGCCGTGTTCAAGTTTATCTTTTTTTGTGCTGAGCAAAACGTCGGCTGTCACTGAAGACGGCCGCCCTGAGTTCCCGGTCGGTCACCGGCCGACCAGGGAAGCTTGCCGCGTGACGTCACGCCGGCTCGCGCCAGAGCGGGGCGCCGGCTCCCTCGCTCTCCCTCTCTCGAGCCAGCCGACCGGGCGACCCGCTCCCGCAAAGTCAAGGCCGTATAAGCAGTGAGGCTGAGGCCGGGGCGCCGGGAGGTGTGTGGTGCTCTCAGCCCCTGACGCGCGGCGCACGGCGGCTCTGACCTGGCCTAGAGGCGGGACAGGCGTATTCAGGTGAGTGCTCCCGGCTCCGCGAAATGAGCGTACTAGGGTCTTGAGACCACGGGGTAATGGGTTTCGAGTGGTAGGTGTCCATTCTGGAATCCGTAGCTGGATTTTATAATTTTTGTGTAGGGGAGAGCGGGGAGAGTTGTATCATGTCCAAGTTGTATCAGGGCGAATTGTGCGAAACTTATCCAATTGATGGCGCTCGTGACACGACCAGCCGACGAGGTTTTCCGGGCGCCATCTTTCCCTGTTCTGTCGTGTGGCTAGGTGGACGCGTCTCGAGGTGAGAGCCGATTTTATGTTTTTTTAATGTCATTCTAAAAAAATAAGTTGCAAGAAAATGTGTGTTTTGGACATTTAGATGTGCACGAATTTGAAAGATCTCCGTAGCGGTGGTGATCGTAGGTTCTAAGGCTGCGTGAGTGAAAATGGATTTCTCCAGCTGTCCGCTGTTTTTGAGCACGAGGATGCTTTTCCAAGATGGCGGCGAGGTACATGTTGTATCAGAGCCGGGTGGGGTATGTTGTAACATGTATGTATGTATGGGTATGTTGCTTTTGATCGCGAAAGCTAAGCCCTGGCTCGCGTTTGTAGGTAGCTAGTCAATACTCGTTCCATTTTGGCACAATGTGTTGGCTTCTTTGCTCTTAACGGGCCACTTTTGCGTCTAGTCTGTTGATGTTTCGTTCGTTTCGATGTTTCGTTCGGATTGCATTGACCTAAGTTTGATCTAATAAAAGTGAAGCCTTTGAGCATATACATTGTATCAACCCCATTTAATGTTGTTGTTATGCTCAAAACCAGTAGCAAGCGCACTCCCTGAAACGTGAAATACCTAGTGATACAAATTACCCCACCATGTGATACAACTCACCCAAGCCATGGGGCAAGTTGTATCAAAAACATTGTTCTATTCGGCACACCGTAGAAGAAAAACTGGTAGAGGTAGCGGAAAAGTTACTTTGCACAAAAAAGCAGAAGAATCAAGGAAGGAGATAGTATGGAAATAATGAGTTTATCACGGATAGTTACGAGGTTATGGGTCTCGGAGTAAAAACTGATACAACCCACCCCACTCTCCCCTATTTTAGCCCGTCCACTGTGCAGCTGCTCCTAATTTTACAGGACCATATTTCCATCATTAAAACCAATCCTCGAATATCTTGATACTTACCGCTGCAAGAGCCGCTTCAGCAAAGCTTGCTGACGTGGGGCCTGACCACGGTTCGTCGGAAGGTCATCTCAGGCTCAAAAGAAACGATATATACCATTCGAAAGCTGACGGTGAGCTGAATCCAAAAATGTAATTTTTATCAAAATCGATCGATGGCCTTTTTTGAAAATTGCGTTTTTGTAAAAACTTCATAATTTTTTATTCAACGGGCTGTCCCGGACATTCGTGAAAACATAAACATGTATTTTTGAGTTCCAGTGAAAGCTGAACGCCAAAAGAACAATATTTAGGGAAGCAATATTTCCAAATATTAATATGCGTCTCCCACAGCCGACAATAAGGCGCAATCACACAGCTCAGTGTCACGATGGACCAAAGTCAGCCACACAGAAGCGTGAAATGACCCTTATCGACTCGCAGACCCGGCGCTCTCGGCCCGCCTGACCGGCCACGGCAAGGAGGTTCGGCTTTCGTTCTACTAAACAGACGTCATATTTGTTAGTTTAACGATTCAAGTCGGTACTTGAGTTATTCAGGATACATGAGCAGAAGATTCATTGCTCTGTCATCTTCACATCATGCATTAATTTGCATTTGTTCATGTCTACTTTGCTCAATTGAGCTTGGTATCATGCCCATATAAGGAAAATTGGCCGCGCTGAAATGTCAGAGGTTGTACCGGCCTCAGCTCGGGTGGAGTGGGGGTAGCGATCGGTGGGGCAGGGTAACCTTTGACCGGTCGCACGGCCGAGCAGCTGTCACCAGTACAGCCTCTGACGGTGAAACCCCGCTCACTTCCCCTGCGCGGGCACTGAGCGCAGCTGGATGGAACAAAGCATGTATAAGAAAAATGTAAATTAAAGCATGTTGTAAATCAAGCAGAACAATGAATTTTCTTCACAGGTATCCTGAATAACTTTAATAGCGATGTAGACAGATAAACTGACAAATATGACATTTGTTTAGTAGAACGAGAGCCGAACACTCTTTCCGTGGCCGGTCAGGCGGGCCGAGAGCGCCGGGTCTGCGAGTCGATAAGGGTCATTTCACGCTTCTGTGTGGCTGACTTTGGTCCATCGTGACACTGAGCTGTGTGATTGCGCCTTATTGTCGGCTGTGGGAGACGCATATTAATGTTTGGAAATATTGCTTCGCTAAATATTGTTCTTTTGGCGTTCTGCTTTCACTGGAACTAAAAAACACATGTCTATGTTTTCAAGAATATCCGGGACAGCCCGTTGAATAAAAAATTATAAAGTTTTTACAAAACCGCTATTTTCAAAAAAGGCCATCGATCGATTTTGATAAAAATTACATTTTTGGATTCAGCTCACCGTCAGCTTTCGAATGGTGAATACCGTTTCTTTTGAGCCTGAGATGACCTTCCGACGAACCGTGTGACCTCAAGGGCTATAATCCATCTACTAAGTAGGTTATCGGGAGGATTTAGAAACCAAAGTAAACCGTGCCCACACAGCCGCACACGCTCCGCCCCACTCGCTCACAACTGGTCGCGGTGTCTCTCCTACCTCCTACCAACCGCAGGTCGTCTGTGTCGGGAATCTTCACACCGCTGCATCGGACGGAGGAGCGTCTCTCGGACCCGAGCGCTCACTACCGGTAGTCAGACATTTACCAGCATACTCCTTGCCAGGGGTGTCAATTTGTGAAAATGGTTGGGGCCTGGGGGTGCCCATAGCTAATGCAATTGCAGAACTCACATGCTATCAGGGGCGTCGCCACAGATTTTCGAAGGGGGCCAAGGGGGGGGGCACGGATCGGCCGACTAAAAACCCAAAATTGGGTATTGTTACTGTACTTTTTCAGGCCGATGCATTATCTGCTCAACGATAATGGGCCGAATTCCTACACGGTATAGGGGAGAGTGGGGCAATGGCGACACCATAAGCATTTTGCTCAATAGCTTAGCTATTTGAAGCTATTTTATGGTGATTTTGACTGTGGTTATAGCCAAAGGAATAGGCTTTCGGATAACACCCAGTTTTAGTATCTCAGATCACTGATGACAGATTCAGAGCCCACGCGAAAATGTGGTGAAAAATGGAGGTGCAAAAAAGCGAGGGGTAATGCCGGCCACTAAGTGCAATAGCACAAAAAGTCGAAATATCGTCACTGGTATTCATCCTTAAACCGTTCTTTCGATGGAAATTTAAGTGAGAATTAAGAAACGACAACTGTATTCAGCAGTTAACAGTGCACTGCACTGCAACACAACACTGCACTCGCTGCAACACAACAGCGCGGCGCCAACAGAACAGCAAACTAACACAACCGTAAACAGCAAGCAAACTAACACAGCCGTAAACACAGCAACCCGAAACGTTGAGCTTTAACGACAGAAGTTGCAAACAAAACCGCGTGGAGTCATTCGAGGACACGTGTCCGGTATTACCCCGAGGTCAGCTTTATTTTAAGAAAGCAGGCAGCAGTCAAAGGCATTGCGTCGCAAACGCCTCACATCCAGCAGTCGCCTAAGAAAGGCTTAATTGAAGGTCATTGCAAAGCAGCACTTCTGAAAATGCGTTAACACATTTCACAGTCAGCAAATAGATGCAACAAAAATTAAAAATCAGATACGAAAAACACATTTGACGCTATAAAAATGAAAATAATGGAGCTACCGTGACAAACTTGCACCATGTGCTAGAATGGCGCTCAACTGAAATGTAAACAACATCAGCTGATTAGTGATGGACAAAGTACTCGCTAGAGATGGGTGGCCGGCATTACCCACCGTCCGCCATTGCCCCACTCTCCCCTACATGTCTGAAGTCAGTTTCATTTTGACACGGTTATTGGTTAACCAGAGCCTCTGGTCTTCTATCAGGGTAGGTGTAATTGTTGACGTATGCCGTCAATCTGATAGCTAATGCATACTAGCACCCATAGAGCGTGAGCAATGTCGACGGTTCAAATTACGGGGGTCGCTGATAAGGCACCTTTCCCTATTCGTTACGATCCTTGCAAGTTTCAACGCTTAACTTACGAATTTTCACCTTGTATGACGTCATATGAGATGTCACTAAGGTTGTTGTTTGATGCAATCGAAGTTTTCGTCAATGACTCTCGATCCAGTTGAGCTGGCGACTCGAGAAAGCCACCATATAATACATAGACATGCCGAATTGAAAGATATGCAGCATGACTTTCTTTGACCAATTCCGGCCGTCGTCTCCGCTGTTTAAATTTCAGGAAGCCGAGCCGGAGGGCTGGAGGCAGCCATGGCGTGGCACCAGTTGCAATACCAAAGTGGCTTTGGGAACGAGTTTGCCACGTGTGACCCGCGGTGCCCGGATGCGCTACCGAAGGGTCAGAATAACCCTCAGAAGTGTCCGTACGGCCTCTACGCCGAGCAGCTCTCTGGCACAGCTTTCACAGGTGAGTCGGGAGCGGCGGCAGTCCCAGCCGGATCCGGGTGGCCGACCCGGTGTCATCGTGTTGCCAGTCACCACTAGGTGCCGAGTGCTGCAACTTCCGACCCGGTGTCATCGTGTCACCACCACTTACCGAGTACTGCAACTTCCGACCCGGTGTCATCGTGTCTGCACCACTTACCGAGTACTGCAACTTCCGAGTTACCAGGCTTTTATTATTGGTACCTAATGGCGCCGTCAAAACTTTCTGTTGAAGTTGGACTTAGTATAAGATTAAGGTTTAATGCAGGAAGTATGACCAGACCAATGTCCTTCAAAGCGCGGTGCATATTTATAGTGCTGTCGTTTTTGTCACACCTTATAGTATAGGTGTGTCTTTTCGGCACCTGTGGTCAATTTGTCAGCTCTGGATTGCTTTCCATCATATTTCCATGCACCCGGCTGGGAGGGCGGGGTGTGTGGGGGCATAAGCATTAAGTAGCTCCATTAACCCGCGCCCCGTTGAGGTCTGGCAGGTTTCACGTTCTGTGGGGGGGGGGGGCAAAGGGCCCCCCGTCGTATCTCTGGAAGCAACAGCCGGATCGGAACAATTCAAACGGTATTCGAAAGATTTCATCGAGATGCACAAGATGAAATAACGATGACCTTGATATTTGACCTGTGACGTCACATGGAGGTCAAACAAGGTCAAATCAGTTCCATTTACAATGACGTGAAGTCGGTCATAGAAATACATCTAAGTTTCCAAAATGAGTCTGGATATGATGTAAATGATATATCTGGCATGTGAGTGACCTGAGTGGACGATGACCTCTGACGTCACAACAGAGGTCAGCCTCGACCAATCAGAAAACACTGTCGTGAATCGTAAGGAAAGGCATGTTAAATTCTGAATATTCGAGTCTTTATGAAGACATGCCATATATATATATATATATATATATATATATATATATATATATATATATATATATATATATATATATATATATATATATATATATATATATATGCAACCACAGAAACCTCCTTGACCATGTTTCTTGGACCTATGACGTCACAGAAAGGTCAAATAAGGTCAAACTGTCCCGGTTTACAACGAAAAACAATTTTTTTTACGTAAAATTGACCTTACTCACGTAAAAGATCATATTAAGTCAGGAAGAGGTTGATAAGTATCATAAATATTACTCCTGACTGATTTCAAGAACAAATATCGAAAATATTGTGACGTCACAAGAACAGTCGCTACTTTTTCAGTCATTCAAATGGCTATATATCTGGCATTTTTAGAGATATTTTGATAATTTTTGGGATGGGTAAGGCTCGTAAAGGAGTTCTCTGACATATATTCCGGTTTTTGAAAATTTCCCCAAATTTCAAAAATATCCCAAGAAAGCTAAGTTTTGAGTTAGAAAATCCATAGATCTAGGGGACTTTTTTAACTTAGATATATCCATTTTGTTTGCTATGCCTTTTTATACCTACAGTCTAATTTTTGAGTCGCTAAGTAGAAAATCTGATTTTCTGCGATTTTTCTCCGTGAACAACTTTTTCGACGAAAAAATCGCTGAACATTACCTTCAGTTTGACCTCTATAGCTCGTGACCTGAGATGACCTGGGATCTAATTTTTCAGGAGATGTGTAGAATTGATGTCCGGAGAAGTACTGAAAGTTTCAGGTCGAAATTCGCAGCCGTTTCTGAGTTATCTGCGAAAACCCACAGGGGAGGGGCTTGGGCCCCCTCCCAACGGGTCGCGGGTTAACCGGCGCCCCTCTGGCCTCTGGGCAGGATCGAGGGGGATCCTGAATTTCCACGCCCTGATGAGTGGGTGGGTGTTTGAACACCCCCCCCCCCCTTCTAACTCAGCTCCTGGGCCCGTGTAGGCGGAGTTCGAAAGAGCGTAAAAATAATGAAGAAACTTCTTCGGTCTCTTTTTAGGTCGAGTCGAAGGTTAGGTCACCAGAGTTCATTGAAGGCCAAATTTCGCCGATTTTCAAGTCGAATGTCGACAGTTTTCAACAAACCGACTCATAACTCGAAAACTAATAGAGCTGCAGCGCCCCGGGAAAGTGCATTTCATAACCCTATTAACACTTCCTGAGTGTTTCTCTCAGATTTGACCTAGCGACAACGGTTTTGCATGCAGGGGGGGGGGGCAAAAACTGCCAAAATAGATATTTTTGCGGGAACAGTTTTCTGCAATACCTTTTGACTCAAATCTTGCACGAGCTTTTTTACCGGCATCATGTTCCTCTCGTCAAGCGCATCGAATGAACTTTAATTTGACCTTGAAAGGTCAACTTGAAAATTTGACCTCAGGTCAAGGTCGTGAGCTTACCGGAAAGGGTCATATGGCATATCAGTCCATCCGTAACGTCGAGCTGAACACAGCTATAAATAAGGCTTTTTCATCGCTCTAGCTTGACTCTATCAAAAGTTATTCGCGAAAACTGCAAGATACCTACCATTCGTGACCTGAGGTGATGACTCTGGGGTATAAACAGGGGGTGGGGGTCACGGGTGCTATTTTCATGTTCAGTGTGTCATATTTATTTGAAATCCAGTGATTGAGAGTGTTTAGATAAACGTTCGTCAAAAAAGCGCCTTCAATTTTTCTTCCATTGACTTATAATGGAGAGGTCGCAAATTGATCTGACCCTAGGTTATCGATATAAAAAATCCGAGATATTCATTTTGTGCGGCATACTGTTGCTCTTATCAATCGCTGAAAGCTTCAAAGCGATCGGTAACTTGGTGTAGCTATGGCGGACATTGAAACTTGTTACGAGGTGTGGTCGGTCACCTGAAGTGACCTGGTGACCTGACCTTGAGTGATCTTCGTCTGAAATTTTCACAACATGTGCAGAACAGATTATGATAAGGTGTGCTAAAAACCACAGCGAGGGTGTTCAAACACGCTTCTGCAGGGCGCGGGTTAAAAGAACTTCGAAACTTTAAACCAGGGTTTCGGAGTCGGAGTCGGAGTCGGAGTCGGAGTCGCCCGGAGTCGTGGCAAGCAGTCAGGAGTCGGAGTCGGAGTCGGAGTCGGTCAATCTGCCTCGACTCCGACTCCGGAAAATAACTAGAATCTGTGATATCTGACTTTTCAGTTTTTTTTACCAGTTGCCCGCGGTAGAATTTGCTTTCGGCGATACAAATTGTACCAGCTTGTTTTTGTTCTGAATGACAGACATTGGATCTTACAAGTTTCAAGTTATATCATAATTTAGTAGCCAAGTATTTTGCATGCGTGATGCGCGTTATAACTTCCACTATCTGAAGTAATTGACGAGTCAAAGACTAAATGACAACTGTATTTTTACTTTCTTCGTTTATGCTCCGAAAAGAATCAAAACAGGAATGACCGACATGATGGCGATGCTCGTGTTCGTGATACGGCCGCCTCTCGCGCTTCTCGGCGGGTTTCCACGCTGGCCGCTGACCTCTTGTGGATTCAGCTGCGTCCACATGGGAAAAATGGTGACTGCATGAAGGAAACCGGAGAGTAAGAGCGTTCTCCCCGTGCACGTAGACCTAGCACGTGGCGTCATATCACGCAAAATCTTGGCGGCCGCCATTGCCCTTCGTATCAGACCCGGAGTCGGAGTCGGAGTCGGTCAGGAGTCCGGAGTCGGAGTCGGAGTCGGAGTCGGAACAGCGCTACCACGACTCCGAAACTCTGCTTTAAACGCGCCTTGCGTCTTCAGTTTTTTTTTTTTTTTTAGGGGAACAAGATGTAACAAAACATGTAAGCGAATCCGCTTTGTCCTTATAATGCATCTCGCTTACTTTTTTTGCTCTTGAAAGTCATTTTTCTGTCTTTTTTTTAAAACAAATAGTCTTTCACTCTTTTACCTTGATTCTGTTAAAAGAAGTAGGAGAAAGTGGGGTAAGACGGTCAGGGTAGGTAAGACGGACACCCCTTCTGCAGACCAAACCAATAGCGCTACGAGCGAGAAAAATTAGGACCAGAACTGCCTTTCCCACTACATACCACCATTGAAGTCTGGTGACTTTGTGTTCAGTCGATAGGGTAAGGTGCCTAATTAGCGACCCCCGTAATTTGAACCGTCATTGCTCACGCTCTGTAGATGCCACTGTGTTACTGGCTTGATTTTCGGAGAGATCGTTCATTTTTCTATTAAAATATAGTCATTTTCTGTCCCAATATTCACTAACTTATTTGTAGTGAGCATTTTGTCAAACCATTGCAAAAAACGCTAATAGGGAACTCTTCCCGATTAGCGACCGGGGACGGTCGCTAATAAGTCTACGGGTTTCCCCATATTAAAAATGGCAAACAATGCGACGCCTGAAAAGATGAAATATGATCTCAAAAAGGTAACCTATACGCAAAGCACTCAATCACTCGAACAGGAACGTTTATCCAACACATTTACGTAAGTAAAAATTGATCACGTGACGCACCGAAGGCGAAAAGAAGGCGAAAACCCAAATTTTGCGGGCTATCTTGTATGATATTTGAGGTCCGCGCTGAATTCCGCACCCCTGCAGTCGGTGACGACATTTGGCATCCCCTGCCACACATTGCAAGCTTCAGCAACACCTCATTTTCATTTCTCTCTTTTCCACTTTCTTTCCCTTCTTGAGCTATTTGCGACCATGTCAGGCGCAAAAAGGAAATATGAGTTGCGACACATTTTTAACCGCCATGCTGTGCACAGTTGAGCAATTCACTATGGGAAAACGGCACTCAATTAAAAAAGGAATTATGTCGATTAAGAATAAAAAAGGTGCATCATCCTAATGTGCATCGCTTTTCGTCAGAGAGGGCCCAAACACACACGTTTTGGATAAGAAACTCGTCATTTTTATTTAAACTCACCTGAAACGTCCCACCAGAAACATCGACGACCGGAAAATAATTTAATTTGATAATCAAAGTATGGCTGACCTTTTGACGATGTTTTTACCCCGTTTTCTCCTGCCAGTTTTTATGTAGGGAGGTAGGTCGCAAATCGGAAAGGGTCGCTAATTA